ATATATTTATATATTTACGGATCGGATCGGATATCCGCTTCCCAAAATTTTACTATTTGTGATTTGCTTCGATTTTAACGGATATTGAATTTTAGTATTTGCTTTGATTCGAAAGTTTACGGATATCCGGAATTTTCGGATCGAATCGAAACGAATAACGAATCGAATCAAATATAACGGATAAAATGCCCAGCCCTAGGAGGAGGAAATCATGAATTGGATAACTTGGTTAGTATATGGCATCTAACATAAGGGTTTGGAATCATGCTTCCAAATTCATCGCTGTTGAGTTTGTAGTGCTGAGACAAAAATAAAATCATATCAAACACTTTAACAAACACTTTACTTAGTGCCGCAAAAAAAAAACTACAAGATGCAACACCATCATGTAACATCATTGTACCCACTGGTGCAAGGAATTTTGGTCCCTACCTTAATATAATCACGGTCGATTCAAGTTATCGAGGGTCCGACTTGAGATTATAAAAAACTTTTCCACCTTTAATTATGAAAGTTGTATTAACCATTCTTTTTTCTGTTAACCGTCGAGCAAAGACATAGTCTCTTTATAGGGTCCACCTCCTTAATAATCGTATGTAGACAGGCACAACAAACGGATATGTTGAATTAGTCTGTCTATGCACAAGCTATCTTCTTTTTCGTTGGTGTAAATGTTAGGACACGAGCTTCCTTCTTAATTTGGCAGTTTAGATTGTTCTGTCTTACGGTTACCAGAATTACTATGACACCTAGTAGAGTATACACAACAAGGATAAAAGCTATTTGGTAATGGAAAAGCTCAGTTATCAAATGCATATATAAATACTGTCAGTATATTTTCACAAAGTCAGCATATTATATGTATTTTTAAAATTAACCACAGAATTGATGATTCACATAATGTTTTTTTTTTTTAAAAAATCGTCTACAGTTGCACGCATTTAGTTTTCTTGACTAATCCAATTCCACTATGAAAGAGATTTCGTAAACCAGCTCATGTCACAATAGACACGACAATTAGAGCCAACGTAAAATGGGGTGTGAGTGAGACCACGTCAGGTGGGATTTTCTGCGAGAGACCCTTCTATTTTTGTTCTTATCCATGCTTTTCAATTATGGTATTTAACCAATTTTACCATCCAATTTTTACGCCAAACACTTTCTTTATTTGTGTTAATTAACATGCAACTAGAAGCGATGAAAGAAAACGTTTAGATACACTTGTAAGACATTGCTAGAAACTCTTTTCAGTATTGTTACAATGTTACTTAAGAGTATGTACAACACTTCAAACGAAAAACGTTTGGAGCCGAAAATGTATGAAAAGAGAACATACGGTAACATAACGTAGTTAATCCACAACAAAGATAATTGATTTAAATGCGAGATCCGGTATAGTATAACTCTTTGATATAAGAGAATTATGAATAAATAAATTATCCGGTTCTCTAAAAGTTCAGAAACTACAGATATGTACGCATAAATTCACATAAACATGCATATAGTATAAGTAAAATGTATGCATGCAAATACAAGTAAGTGGCAGCGACATGAGGGCATGTTCAAAGGGGGCACACTAAAGAGTGTGCTTAGGGTTAAAATATTAGTAAAATAATGTATTTTGCTTAAGAATATGGGAACTAGTCAAAGGGAGATCACTTTGTTTTTGGGTGTGCTTAACTTTTCGGCCAATACGGGCAAGACACATATACCAACACTTGCCTTAAGCACAGATCTTATTGTAGACCACCAAAACTGATCTTCACCCTTTTTTTAATTAAATCTCATTTTTTAAATGGTAAGCACATGTGGGGAGTTCCCCCTTTGAACATGGCCTGATGTCCCTAAACAAATAAATGCGTGAATGCAGACGTTTGACGATTGGATGAAGGTGGGGACCTTATAGAGTTAGGGATTTTGAGGCTGGAAAGAACTCTTAACTATACGTTTGATGGTGAGATAACCCCAAATCTTATTTTTAGAAAAATAATTGTACAAAATAAATAGAATAAAACTTTGTTTTATGTTTATGCTAAGTGTCATCGGTAAAAGATACTCGAATCTTAAATATGCTTTTTCATAATGTGATCTTGTATTATAAAAAGATATGCATTTTGCGTTCGACCTATCAATTTAAATCTCAAAGTAAACAAAATCCAGACCCTAAATTACTTGCTTACAAGGAAATCATATACTAAATTGCTTTGAACATAATGATTGTGTTTTTTCATAAAACATATTTATATATATAAAAAACCTAAATAATCGGAAAATCAGATTATTCGGTTATTACAAACCCGCTTTGAACAAAAACTCCAAAGTCCAACTATTACAAATAATAATGGTGTTTTTTTTTTTCATTTTGCTAAACATAATAATTGTATTTTCTATCATAAATCCGTAGGTTTCATTCTCGTTTAAGACTTGGTTTGAAAGCTCATAAAGTTCATAACTATTCCTCTGTATATGAATGCCGCCTAAAATATTTAGAACACTGATTATTAGTGAAACATTACAAATGAAGTCAATTGATAAGAAAAAGTATAAATTAATAACTTTTACGAATGAAGTTTATATGCAAAGGCAGTAACCAAAAGAAAAAAAGTTTACATGGAGAAGTCAAATAATATAGAATTTTATCATGGTCAGCAATCTCTTAATTGAGTTTTTTAATCTTCGAATAAAAGACGATTTTTAATTTTTTAGATTTTAATTAAAAAAATCTAAAAATTATCTCTTAAATAAAAATCGTTTTTTAGTCAAAAATATATACTTTTTGAGTTGAAAATCTCATAAAAAACTGAGATTAATCATGTCCTAATGTATCATTAGGTTCGTAAGCATTACTAAATAAATAAATATCCCAAAAATTTGTGAAGTGGAAAAAAAAAACAAAGAAGAAGAAAAGCTAGTTCTGGTGCTTTTTGCAGACCTTTTGGTAGTTGTCCTTGTCCTGGTCACTGATCATCCCTTTCCGACAACTCTGATTATCTTTCTCTCTCCCGTTCTAACTCTCTGTCATAATCTCGTCTGCTCCTCGATCCTCTCCCTTCATTTCTTTCCTCTTTTGATTCTTTACCCATTTCCCCAGATTTCTCTTTTTAGAAACTCTCTTGAAGTAACTTTTCGTTGTTAGTGGAAGAGCTTCTCTAAAAAGGGAATCTCTCTTCCTTACTTATTGGTCTCTCCGGAGATTCCGCGTGTGAAAAGTTCGTTTTGATCTCTCTGAGGTTCTGTCCGAAGTTAAAAAAAAAAACTGAGATCTTGGAGTCTCCATTTATCAAGATAAACGAATTTTCTGCGGTAACTTGATTCTGAAGACTGGAGGGCTTTAACGTCTATGATGAAGATGAAGCTGTCACGCAAAGAGCTCAGCTTTGTATAAGCTCAGTTTTAGTATATTAGTAAAGTTCAGTAATCATGAAAGCTCCTTCATCAAATGGAGTGTCTCCAAATCCAGTGGAAGGTATGTATATAGATAAATGTTAAATCCTTTAGTAGGATCTCACTGCTGGATTGTGTATAGATTTAGTTGTCACTATTTATAGTAGCTCTATCATCTATTTATAGTAACTAAAGGAAGATCCTAGAGACGTTGAGTAACCACATCTTTGATGTTGTGTGAGTGCAGGAGATAGGAGAAATATTAATTCAGAGTTATGGCACGCTTGTGCTGGGCCATTGATATCTTTGCCTCCACCAGGAAGTCTTGTTGTTTACTTCCCTCAAGGTCACAGTGAGCAAGTATGTTGTTCTATTTATAACATTCATGATTGATCAAGAATTAATGAATCTCTGGTTGAAAATTTTCATGTGCCTTTTGTTTTTTTTAAATTTCATTAGGTTGCAGCTTCAATGCAGAAGCAGACTGATTTCATACCAAGCTATCCGAATCTTCCTTCTAAACTCATCTGCATGCTCCAAAATGTTACATTGAATGTATGGTATCTTTTGAGTTACCAATAAAGATCTCTTAACATAAGTTTGCTAATTTATTTTGGGATTGTGAACTAGGCTGATCCTGAAACAGATGAGGTCTATGCGCAGATGACTCTTCAGCCAGTAAACAAAGTAGGTTACATTCCACTGTATAACGTGGTTCTAGATGTGTTTGAGCAAGGACTAATTGTTGTGAGGATGTTGTTGAACAGTATGACAGAGACGCATTGCTTGCTTCTGATATGGGTCTTAAGCTAAACAGACAACCTAATGAATTTTTCTGCAAAACCCTCACGGCGAGTGACACAAGCACTCACGGTGGATTTTCTGTACCACGACGAGCAGCTGAGAAGATCTTTCCTACTCTGGTGTATATACAACGCTTATATATATATATTATATACTAGATAAATGTTGATCTCTAGCTTCTTACATCGTTGGCAATGTTCTGTTAGGATTTCTCCATGCAACCACCTTGTCAGGAGCTTGTTGCTAAGGATATTCACGACAACACATGGACTTTCAGACATATTTATCGAGGTAAAATTTTTCCTTGTTTTTGGTAAAGATTAAATGTACTCAATCAGTTTGGTTTGTGTAATACTGTGTTTGGATTTGTTTATCAGGTCAACCAAAAAGGCACTTGCTGACTACAGGCTGGAGTGTTTTTGTAAGCACAAAAAGGCTCTTAGCTGGAGACTCTGTTCTTTTCATAAGGTTTATCAATCTCAATGTTTCCCATGTTTTTTTGTTTTTTTTTTTTCTTGTCAAGATGCTAACTGTTTTTTCATTTTCAATCAAGAGATGGAAAGGCGCAGCTTCTGTTAGGTATAAGACGAGCAAATAGACAACAACCTGCACTTTCTTCATCTGTAATATCGAGCGATAGCATGCACATCGGTGTTCTTGCTGCTGCTGCTCATGCTAGTGCTAATAACAGTCCTTTCACCATTTTCTACAACCCAAGGTTGCTTCCCTTTCTTTCCATTAACCTTATGAAAATGCTTGTTTAATGACAACAACTGAGAGAATACAACCTTTTTATTTTTTTTTGGCAGGGCTCCTGCTGAGTTTGTGGTTCCTTTAGCCAAGTATACTAAAGCTATGTATGCTCAAGTGTCCCTAGGTATGCGGTTTAGGATGATATTTGAGACAGAGGAATGTGGAGTTCGTAGGTATATGGGTACAGTTACTGGTATCAGTGATCTTGATCCAGTGAGATGGAAAAGCTCTCAGTGGAGAAATCTTCAGGTAGTTTGAAGTTAAAACTCATTATGAATGCCATTTTTTTCTTGATTTTGTTTTGTTTTTTGGCTAAAGATTGGATGGGATGAGTCAGCAGCTGGTGATAGGCCTAGTAGAGTTTCAGTTTGGGACATTGAACCGGTTTTAACTCCTTTCTACATATGTCCACCTCCATTTTTTCAACCTCGGTTTGCTGGCCATCCCGGAATGCCAGGTTCTATTTCATTTCTAGACAACATCTTTTGAATCTCCTCGGTGATGGAAAGTTTGTCTATTTTGCAGATGATGAGACTGACATGGAGTCTGCGCTGAAGAGAGCAATGCCATGGCTTGACAATGGCTTAGAGATGAAAGACTCAATGTTTCCTGGTTTGAGTTTAGTTCAGTGGATGAGTATGCAGCAGCAGAATGGCCAGTTACCTTCTGCTGCTGCTGCACAATCTGGTTTCTTCCCGTCGATGCTCCCTCCAACCGCGGGGATGCACAACAATCTTGGCGGTAATGATGATCCCTCAAAGTTACTGAGCTTTCAGAGGCCGAATCCGAAAGCTTCAATGTCCCAGTTGCCTCAGCCACCAACTACGTTGTCTCAACAACAGCAGATGCAGCAGTTGTTGCACTCCTCTTTGAACCACCAGCAACAGCAATCACATTCTCAACAACAACAACAATCTCTGCAGCAACAACATCACCAGCCTCTACAGCAACAGACTCGGAAGCTGCAACAACAACAGCAGCAATTGCAGTCTCATTCACGTTCACATCCGGAGCCGCAGTCACAGCCACAGCCACAACAGTTACAGCCTCATCAGCAATGTTATCCTCCGCAGAATCAGCTGTATAATGGTCAACAAGCAGCACAACAAGCATCTATGCATCATTTGCAACCACAAGTAGTTTCAGCATCAATGGCAAGCAGTGTCATTGTGCCTCCTTCTAGCTCCCTTAACCAAAGCTGTCAACAGAAACAACAGTCTACGCAGCTTCAACACACACATCGCCACTTAGGTCCTAGCGCTAGCCAGAGTAGTGTAATAGAAACCAGCAAGTCTTCATCTAATCTGACGTCCATACCAGCGCAAGACACACAGTTTCAACGACAACTAGAACAGCAGCAGCCTCCTGGTCTTGTCAAGGAACCCAATCAGCAGCAGAAAGCTCAACAGGCGCAGGCACATACACACCAACAGATATTCCAGCAGAGTCTCTTGGAACAACCTCATTTACAGTTTCAGCTTATGCAGAGATTACAACAACAGCAACAACAACAGCAACAACAACAGCAACAACAACAGCAACAGCAGCAATTTCTTATGCCAGGAAGCTCGAGTTTGCAGCCTCAGTTACTCCACCAACAGTTGCAACCACCTCAAATGTCTGTGAGCCGGCCACAGGAAAAACAAAACCCACTGGTTGGAGTAGGGGTCAAGGCTTATTCAGGAATTACAGATGGAGGAGATGCACCTTCCTCTTCAACCTCTCCTTCCACAAACAACTGTCAGATCCCTTCTTCAACCTTCCTCAACAGAAGCCAAAGCGGGCCACAAGCAATTTTGATACCTGATGCATCTGTTAATATCTCTGGTAATCTTGTTCAAGATCTTTACAACAAATCCGACATGCGGCTAAAAAAAGAACTCATAAATCAGCAAAAGTCCAAAGCAAGTTTAACAGATCATCAGCTAGAAGCATCTGCCTTTGGCCTCGAGAGTGATTCAAGAAACAGCTTACTCGGTGGAGCTAATGTGGACCATGGCTTTGTGCCTGACACGTTACTCTCGAGGGGATACGACTCTCAGAAAGATCTCCAGAACATGCTTTCAAACTATGGAGGAGTGACAAATGACATTGGTACAGAGATGTCTACTTCAGCTATAAGAACTCAATCTTTCGGTATCCCCAATGTGCCTGCCATTTCAAACGATGTAGCTGTCAATGATGCTGGAGTTCTTGGTGGCGGATTATGGCCAACTCAGACTCAACGGATGCGAACTTATACTAAGGTAATATATCAATGGTTGTTACTAGTTTTCAACCATATTATATGTATTTGGAGTCGTTTTAGAGTCTGTACGTGTCAAGACGTTAAAACTTGGAATATGTTTCTTAAATTGACATTTTCATGACAGGTGCAAAAGAGAGGTTCAGTGGGGAGATCAATAGACGCCAACCGTTACAGAGGCTATGATGAGCTGAGGCATGATCTGGCGCGCATGTTTGGTATAGAAGGACAACTTGAAGATCCACAAACATCAGACTGGAAACTTGTCTATGTTGATCATGAAAACGACATCCTTCTTGTTGGTGATGATCCATGGGAGTAAGTACATTGAGACAAGAGATTTTTATAGAGTTCCATTCTTATTCTCCTCTAATGTTTGAATTTTTTGCAGGAAGTTTGTGAACTGTGTTCAGAGTATAAAGATCCTTTCATCAGGTGAGGTTCAACAGATGAGCTTGGACGGTAACTTTGCTGGTGTACCAGTTACTAACCAAGCTTGTAGTGGCGGCGGTGATAGTGGCAATGCTTGGAGAGGTCATTATGATGATAACTCAGCCACCTCGTTTAACCGGTGAAAGTAGAATATCTCTTACAGACAAAAGATTCTTTCTTTTGTAATGTATAACTTTTCTTGGATAGCGTCTCAAGTTTCCACAGAACAATGTAGAGCACTTAACTTGTAGAATACCTTCTAAGTTTACACGAAGATTTATCAGTTTAGTGTCACAGATTTTATAACTGATTAGATTACAGAACCAAATTGTGAAGAGAAATTAAGCAAACAGGTCAGCAATGAAATAACAATCATGTATTTAAACTCAAAAAGTCTTTATTCAAGATTATGCTCATGCCGTTGAAGAAAAAATTTCCACAATTGGGATTACAGGTTGCAAGTTACAAAGACTTAAAACTAAGAAAGGATAGCCATAACATCTGAAGCTCTCAGGGCGATGTAGTTGGAACCATCTTTGCCCTTGAAGTCATTGCCTGCATACTTGGAGTAAAGAACTGTGCTTCCAGTCGATATTGGTAGTGGCTGAACTTTACCTTCCTCATCTAGAGACCCTGGTCCAACCGCTATCACCTGCCCAAAATAAAACACAGAGGAGAATGTAAAACACTTGGCACTTATTTATGAAGCTGAGGAGCACATCATCAAGCTATTGTAACTTACTGTGCCAATAGAAGGCTTCTCTTTGGTTGTCTCGGTTAGTAACAAACCTCCAGCTGTTTTCTCCTCTGCCTCAGCAACCTAAACTCATAAATATCAAAAAACAAAACTTCCTCTTGTTATCACTGTACAAATACAAACAATAAGATGATTAAGATACACACACTAGGCGTTACCTTAATGAAGACGCGGTCATTCAAGGGCTTGAGATCTTTGATGTCATCTGTCTCAAGAAGGCCAACAATATCATCTTCCTTGAGAATGAGATGCTTCACATCGTTGAACTCCACCTCTGTTCCTGCGTACTTGGAGTAAATAATCTGTGCTCCAGTCTAACACCACAATAAAACAAAAAAAGAGAAACGCAATTTCAGATAAATTTATAAGCAGACAAAGAAAGAGAGGTTGCTGAGAGGATGTTACTTACAGGGACAGTGATATCGATTTTGGTTTTCCCAATAGTTCTTCCTTCACCCACAGCAACGACTTCACCTCCTTGAGGTTTTGATTGAGCAGTGGATGGAAGTAAGATACCTCCCATAGTCTTTTCCTCTGCCTCCTTAGTCTTCACCAAAACTCTATCTCCCAGTGGCTTAATTGCAGTGTACTGTAAATAACCATACACAAGAAACATCAAAACAAAGCAGAGAAATCTACAAGTCATAACTAAAAGACAATGAACATATTCAAATTCTGACAAGACCCCATTAAGATACAACTACAAACATATAGATTCTTAAGCTAGAACTGTCTAAAGCTTAGTTTCTTCAGACCAACATTGGACAAAACAAATGAGCCAATACAAAGGAGTAACTCAATATTCAGACAAGTTCCACATGTTCATTCAGACCAACCAAGAAAGTACCTTAGGAGCAACCACAGAAGCAGCTCTGACGACCAAAGGACGGAAGTGGCTTTGCCTAAGAGTCCCTGGTTTCAAAGTTCCAAAAGATGAAAGCTTAGCACTCGAAGCTCGGAGACCTTCCAAGCTCCTAGCTGACACAGTCACTGGTGATGCTGTAAGTTGCGTCGCCGCCATTTCTGCTATTAGTTTAAAACATATTAAACTCTCAGTTAGTAAGAAACAAATAGGAAGCAATGAGATTCCTCTCAGATTCACCACATTTTATAGAGTTTATCCATCCAAAGTTCAGACCTTTATGTTCAATTCTAGTTGGAAGACAGTGAAGAGAAGAGGATTCTTACCTTGAGGATAAGAAAAGGTTGTGACTTTTTGAGGATAAAACCCTAAAGAGTTTGCAGAAGAGATAGACTAAAAAGTACACATGACTTCTCCTTTTTATTACAGGAAGTGTTCTATCTAGAACGCTCTAACCGGGTGACGGGTCGGGTCGCTCGGGTCCAAATCCTCTTTGTCCCCTACTCCCCTTTATGAAATTTCTAGACTTAAACATATCATTTTGGATTTTTTTTCATTTAATAGTATATAAGCTCATGTTTATACTATCTAAAATTATAAATACGTGAATACTAAAACTCTCGAATGATTAAAATAAAAATATTCTAAAATGATATATTTCATAATTTCTGTTTAAATATTTAATTGTTTTTGTTGTTAGTGTAATATATCCCAAAGTAGGATCTAATTAATCACAAGATATATTACACTAAAAAATATATATATATATATATTTTTTTTTTTGTTTTATACTCTGTTTTGATTTTAATTATATGGATGGAAGCTGAAACAGAAAAATGTTAGTCTTTATTAAATAGAAGAATGTTGTGCTCATGAACTCTGGCACAAACTATTCCGACCACAACCATCTTGAAGTTCACCATTAACGGGTCACCACCCATTTCTTCGAATAGAGTGATAGTGTTGTGTCCGTTCTCATTCAAGAACGACCGTGGAACATGGCACCTACAAGAATTTGGCAATTGAAGTTCCAATCCGCAAAAATACCATTATTGATTATGGTGAAGTAATAAAGGAACCATTGTTTATATCATTTTAGAATTACCATATTTGAGTTGGTTTGCTGCACATAAAAGCACATTTTTTACTACCATACTCCCCCACGATAGTCACATTCCTCAGTGAAACCGTCGTCACTAAAGTTGAAGCTTGGCTAGTAACGTCCGATGATCTGGCTGTTGATCCAAGCCTCTCCTTTCCCAAGACCATCAAAGTTGACAATCAGTGGATCATTACTGAAGAGATAACACTTTATTTGTGAAACCTTCATCTGAAATATCAAATGGTTTTGTTAGAAAATTTGGTTACTTGATACTGACGGTGTACCATGTCAACATTCTATCAGAAGGAAGCTTTTTGTTTGACCATATGAGGCGGCGACCAATGAATTTTATGCTTAAAATTTGTGGTTATATCCATTCAAAACGATCTTGTAGTCATATTGCTGCTCGGATAGATTTTTCTCTATCGTTTCCTCTCCTTTGTATCCGATTAATTTCACCGGACCACTGATTCCAGTTGGACCACTATCAAAGAAAGCTCCAATAACGAAACATTTTTAAAACGATTGTTAAGCAGTTTCAACATTATAATATGGTTAATGGGTCGTGAAATAAGTATACTATCAAAGAATATATGGTTTTAAATTTTCAAAAATTCATAGGAGTTAACCCACGACCTCGAAAAATTTGGTGAATTTTTACGTTATCTATAGAAGACGAGGAAACATTTTCTAAACGATTGTTAAGCAGTTCAATACTATAATTTGGCTAATGGGTCTTTAAATAAGTATACTAAAAATGAATACATGTTTTGTAACTTTTGAAAATTTATAGGGGTTAATCCACGACCTCGAAAACTTTGGTGGATTTTGAAGTTATTCTCACGAGACGACGAAATTTTTTTAAAACGATTGTTAAGTAGTTTCAACACTATAATGTGGTTAATGGGTCTTTAAATAAGTATACTAGAACGAAATATATGTTTTGAAATTTTCAAAAACTCATAAGGGTTAGCCCACAGCTCAAAAATTTGGTGGATTTGACGTAATTCTCAGAAGACGACGAAGCATTTTCAAAATGATTGTTAAGCATTTTCAACACTATAATGTGGTTAATGGGTTTTAAATAAGTATATTATCAAGAAATTTATCTTTTTAATTTTCAAAAATTCATAGGGGTTAGCCCACGACCTTGAAAAATTTGGTGGATTTTAACGTTATATTGAGGAGACGGTAAAACATTTTCAAAACAACGATTGTTAAATAGTTTCAACACTATAATTTGATTAATAAGTCTTTTAATAAGTATACTATCAAAGAATACATGTTTTGAAAATTTCAAAAATTACTAGGGATTAGCCCACGACCTCGAAAACTTAGATGGATTTTGATATTATTCTCAGGAGATGACAAAATATTTTCAAAATGCTTGTTACGCAGTTTCAACACTATAATTTGGTTAATGGGTCTTTAAATAGGTATACTAGCAATGAATATATATTTTGAAAATTTTCAAAAATTCATAGGGGCTAGCCCACGAGCTCGAAAAATTTGGTGGATTTTAAGTTTATTCTCAGGAGACAAGAAAACATTTTCACCATGATTGTTAATCAGTTTCAACACAATAATGTGGTTAATGTGTCTTTAAATAAATATACTCTTAAGGAATATATCTTTTGAAATTCTCAAAAATTCATAGGGGTTAACCCACGACTTCGAAAAATTTGATGGATTTTGACGTTATCCCCTGGAGACGACAAATATTTTTAAAATGATTATTAAACAGTTTCAACACTATAATTTGGATAATGAATCTTTACATACATATAATTAAAAGGAATATATGTTTTGAAACTTTCGAAAATTTATAGGGATTAGCCCACAACCTCAAATTTTTTGGTAGTGTTTGATGTTATTCTCAAGAGATGACGAAATATTTTCAAAACGATTGTTAAGCAGTTTCAACACTATAATTTGGTTAATGGGTCTTAAAACAAGGATTTCGGGCTTTGAAAAAATTAACGTACTGGTTGTTGGAACGGAATGGCACCACAGGCCGATAAAGTGAGTGTGGATGGTCCATTAGCCGTGGACGGAGAGGACATTACAGGATCTTTCTTGTCGATATGAACCCTAAGTAAAAAATCATATTAGTCTAGTGTCTAAGTACTCGTTAGTGTTTGAATTTTGAAGAAGAACGGAGTAGAGAGAGACCAGCGTTGTTTTGATGAAGCGAACAAAATCAAGATTTCCGGAGAAAATCATATTGCATATGTGCTTGTTCATGTGAATTCCAGAAAACGTAGGTCTCAATGGCATCTAAGCCACCATCTTTGGCTTTGTTGCTAACATCAGGTCTGCAAACACAAACACAAACCAAAAGGAAAATATATTGCTTGTGAAGAAGAAACATATGTACGAATGGTTTAGAAATGTAAGTTGTTGTTACGTCGGAAGTGCTTCGTAGATAGTGAATTGAGCCTGATATTAAGATTTTACGTTGTCCATTGATGCTGATTGCTCGATCATCGTGTGAGACAATAGTGTGCATTCGCTGAATAGAATGAAGTAATGAATATGAGAAACAATGCTAAAACAGTGATGTGTTTCATTTTCCCCATTGATGAGAGTAATGAATAGAATGAAGTAAAGTTTGGAAGGAGCTGCAATGAGATGCTGCAACTGTGCTTTCTCCCCATTGATCTTTGTGAGTTAAGTGACGTTGTCGTCCCAGTAGTCGTCGGGATTCTTCAATTGTTTCACATCCCTCCTCATCATAGTGGGTTCAACCAATTGGATAAATCCTTTTCCTTTCTATGGTTTTAAACTAGGTTCTATGTGTATCAACGACCAGAGTGGGCTTTAGTTTTTATAACAATAGTGTGCTCACTTGCTGTAATATAAAGTTTAATGCAAATGTGTATATATCACACATTTTAGCACTATGGTGTATATGTGCATTTTATTTTACTAAAATTTTCAAGAAATAGATATATAGGAACTCAGTAGGGGAATGTGACCCATCTCACGAAAAGAAAAAGATAAAATAGTAAAGTAAAATAGATAGCCGAGTCAGCAAATAATAGTGGAGGGTACAACGAAGCTGTTGATGAATGCCACGCATTCACATCTTATGAAAGTGCGCAACGAATCCTCTTTTTTTTAATTAGCTTGTGGGATCCATTTTGCGACATTGTTGATATCGACTTTTTGTGTGTTTGTGTTTGTTTTGTTTTTTGAAGTAAAAAAGAATTGATTGTGTCCCAGTGTGGACCATTTTTTCATTGGCACCTCATCTTCATTATTCGTTTTTAATATCTCTGTTATAGTTATTCATGTCAGTATTTTATTTTATAGTCGGTACATAAATTAATATCCCGTATATTTTGTTGATTTTCTTACAGAAAAACGAATCCGTCCAAATCTAAATCCCATTATTGTAAGCATTGTTTAGGGTTTATGTCATGTCAGCTTACACATATAACACTCCACACTATATAATTCATTAATTATTGAGTAACAAATAAACCATGCATGTGTCGCTATTATGTATAAGTCTGGGCAAATACAGAAGGTTGCGTTTGGTTTAGACATAACTGCTCACAAACGTTATCTTTGTGGCTGGATGATCGTGATTGCATGCAGTTGAAACTAATTTTTATAACGCTGTATACATTTCCATACCAATAGTTTTGTTATTTTAAACGTTTTGCCAAAAAAAATATAGATCTTATTACAAATCCAATCGACTATACTGCATCCATTTTAGCTACATCTACTTGTCTTATCCTGAATACGCTGTTAATTTATGTTTCGTAACATTAAACATAAGCTGTTATATGTTGTTTATTTGACCGAAGATTATAAATAATTTTGATGATGTAATGACCATAAGATTCTTTTTTATGACTAAAGAGATATTAATTATTTGTATGAATACTGACCAAACAAATAAAATATCAATTCTCTTAGAATATGACATTATTTATTTTATCTAATGTAACGTATGATCAGTTTAACACCGTGTCATACATACAAACTATTATATGTATGAAGTGACAAATGAAATTATATTTGCGTCAACGATTTAGAAGCCTTAGTATATTGACTACCTTCAGAACTATAATTAGCACTTAATCATATACTTATAGTACACTACATTCAAGAATACAACAGTAGTTAAATCAATTTATTAACTCCTATATATCTTATGTTTATATATCACTTCTGGTTTTCCTTTGATTAGCTTCACACGTTTCGTGGTATGTTACGTCATTAGATATTTTATATGGTAGTTTTGTTTTCGAAAATAAACAGTAAGGATATTATTCGCAAAATAAGAATAGTTCACGTGATTTATTGTAAATATTGCAATAAATAAAAGTAGTGTAAAGTTTCTCAACCCTCCCACCAACTCCACCATAAATAACACATATCTCTCCCATCTCTTCCTTGTGGAGGTTTCACAAACACCACCAATCTTCTTCTTCTCTCATCATCTTTTTGGTTACTTCTTAGTTTGATTTGATCAAGATCATGCTTAGCAAAAGAACCCATCCCATGATAGGAAAAATATCTGAGCTCCTCGTTGGGGTGAACCGATCTGCGGCCGCGGCTGCTCCGTTCTTGGACGTCTTGATGACGAGCCCAAGAAGCCCACTAGATTTCAAGATTCTCCCACAGATATCTCAAAGAAACAGCTCAAAGAGATTCTATGATGACAATCTTGGTGGGTCCGTTGGTCTAGGGATTGTAGCCGCACTCGAGAACTCAACCACTCGTCGTATCACGAGCGTTTCTAGATCGGAATCTAACCAAACCGGCCGGTCTGATCCGGTTCACTTCATGAGCCATGGAGGAAGCATGGACGAGGAAGATGAGGAGATGTTCATGATGGACGAGGAGGATTACACGTTGGTGACGTCGCACCATGGTCCTAGTGGAACTTGTAGTACAAGGGTTTATGACAAAGATGGGCTTGAGTGTTTCGCAAGTAAGGTTAGCGAAGAACGTCGTGAGAGACTTTTCGTGGTCGATGTCTGTGCGGAATCTCCAGAGAATACGCCGAAGTTTGAGGGTTTGGGTTTCCTGAATTCATGTTACTTATGCAGGAAGAAACTTCACGGTCAGGACATATTTATCTACAGGTATAAATTAAGTGAATTTAAGTATTTTATAATGTTTTTGTAACGCCATTTTGCATTCATTGATTTATTTTTTATTTTGTTTAATGCAGAGGAGAAAAGGCTTTTTGCAGCACAGAGTGTCGATCAAGTCATATAGCAAGTGTTGAACGGAAAGAGAGGTGTAGATCGAAGTTCTCACCCTCTCCTTACACCGCCGGTCATGTTTTCTCCGTCGGAGTTTTAGTGACTTAGCCGGAGTTCTTCTTTTGAGTATATATAATATATATATGGGGGTCAGGGGTAAATAAAATAATAACTAGCCATTAATAATATGCGAGAGAAATAAAGTATATATCATATATATAAAAATATGACATGTATGTCCATATAAATGATATATGTTATATGGTGGAAGAGAAACAACATGAAAATTTTGGGTGAAGGGGGTTTATGAGAGAGAGCCAGTTCTTGATCGTCAAGATGGCGAAAAATGGAACAAGGCTCTTGTTTTCTTTTTTTTTAATTGTAATTGTGTTTTGTATTTGGTGGTTTATTAACATGTTAAAATAATTTTAATGTTCAAATTGGGTTTTCATTATTCTTGTGTCCTTTCTTTTAGTGGATGTTTTAAAAGGTGAGAATATATATCAGTGCTACAAGCATCATATCATATCAAATAATTGAAGAATATATTAACAACAAAAAGAAAGGAACAGTGAGAATCGTTTACAAAATTCTAAAGATAATTAAACATTGTTTGAGATTAATTATGATGTATAATTGTATATAATAAGAATGGTTGTTGTGGTGTTGGTTTGTGTATGGTTTATTCATCAATCAACTTGTGAAAGATACAAAAACGATCAAATATAAATATATAATAATAAAATAATGTTGACCTATACGGATGAAGCCAGAAATGAGAATACGCCCAAAAGAGGGACATCATTGTTGAGTGGTTGGCCCCATAAAATTCCAATTATTAAATAATTAAATTATATAGAAAGAACAAGACAAAACATAATTTCTTTGTGGTCCTTTCACTAAAATTGACTTGCATGCAAGACCTTAATAGTCTTTGTTCTTATTAGAACTCAGTCCTACCTAATAGTATATAAGCTTTTGGTGCCATCAATATGTTGCTCATTAAGAATGTTCACATACAGTATGTTTGCTTGTGTTTGACGTACATTCTTTTGAACAAATTTGGTTTAATTGGGTTATTTAGTTTAAGAAAGGGTTATCTGAACTTAAACTATAAGTTGTTCCCAATATTTAGATAATTAAAACTATATATGATTCTGTTCAAATGTTTGTTTTAATTCAGTTCTTTAACAAAACGATTGGGAAATCATAGATAACTAATATTCAATCTGTTTTAAAAAGATGTAACTTTCAGAATTTTTACACATTAAAACATATAAATTTTTGGTTATTAATGCTTTATTTTTTTATTAAACTATTTTCCATAGTTTTCACCCCATAGAATTTCGATAAAACACAATTTTTTTTTTTGAAATTTACAATTTACCATTAAAAAAATATATTTGTTTAAAAAAAAAATTTCTCTTAAATAGTGATCTTTTTGGAAACGGGAAAGTAGTAGTTAAGACCATCTACAACGCAGGATTTAATAGATCCTTAGTGTTAATCCTTAACTGTTAGGGATTAAATTAATATTAAAAAAATGAAACAGGCTAAGGATGAATCCTTAATCAAGGATTTTTAAGGATCAATCCTTGTTGCGTTGGCAAAAGTCTCGCGTGGCTTTCTCTGAGATTGGAGGTTCCTCCAGTTCGGATTCCATGGATTGGTTTGGGGAAATTGAAGTAGAAGTGGTGAATTTCATTGGGTTGGTCGAAAGGATTCAACTTTGGTTGAGGAAGTGGTTGATTATTGTGGTGAATCTCTCTCTCTTTCTCTGTAGCTCTCTCCTTCTTCTTCTCGGAGAATCCACGGTTCAAGCGATGTAACCGTTCCCAGACTCTCAGGATTCTCTATTGTATCTCCCAAATACGTAAGCTTTTCGCTGTGTGTTTCTAAACTCTTCATTTTGGAATCTCATTAATGGAATATCCTTCTTTTTTTTTTTTTAAGGTTGAGGTAGAGTATGCCGATGGAAGCAAGTTCAGTTTTTTTTGTTGTTGTTGAAAAGGTGAAGACTTTATGCATCAAAGATGGTTTCTAGAGCACATGATTGTGAAGATATAGACTTTTTGATTATCATGTCTTACCTCAGCTTCTAGACATGCTTATTGCAATAATGTGAGAGCTGACCATGAGGAATACACTAGCATTGGATGCTGGCAATCGACTACAAACTCTCTGATGAGTTTTGAATATGTTTTTGCAGTTTTGTAGTGCAGAGAAAGCGTATGGTGTGGAATCTTGTGGGATTCCATCTTCTTCTTCATCGACAAGGATTTGATCAAAGGAGGTACAGTTGTGAATGCACATCATCAACAACTTGCTGATGTTTATGTGGAAGATGGTATTATTGTCTCTGTGCAGCCAAACATTAAGGTATTTACTACATCCCTTTCAGTCTTGTATCCTTTTTATTTTTGGTAATCGAAAATTCCAACTTTGATCTGCTTGAAGAATCTCTTGTCACTCTGTATCAGGTTGGGGACGAAGTTACTGTACTTGATGCCGCTGGAAAGCAGCAGCACTAGCTGGTGGAACAACTATGCATATAGACTTTGTTATACCAGTTAATAGGAATCTGGTGGCTGGTTATGAAGCCTATGAAAAGAAATCCAGAAACTCCTGCATGGATTACGGTTTTCATATGGCCATCACAAAGTGGGATGATGGTGTTTCCAAGGACATGGAGATAATGGTCAAGGAGAAGGGTAAATGCATTGATTCATGCCTACTATTTTGCGTTATGGCTACTAGTTTTCACTTCGTATGGATGGGTTTATATTGAAAGTGCAGTTAAGTATCTTAGCAATGAGTCTTGCTGTTGTTCTTTTGCGTTATGGTTACTAGTCCACTAATTATGTAAATAATCAAACATAGATTGTAAAGGGACAAAAACTTGTATTCTTTAAGCTCTACTCTTAACACTATGACATCATGTTTTGTTTGTTTTTTTCAATCAGGTGATATCTGGAAGGCGGTATGTAGGAATCATGTCTGCAGAACAAGTAGGAAACTATGGTGTAAGGTACTTAAAAGCCCATATGGTCACAATAACTTAGCTATCAAAGATACCAAAACTTTTGTTTTACTTTTCCTTATAATTTGATGCGGTTGGGGCTGAATCTTTTGTGTGAGGATTCAGGTTAGTGTTTGATGACTTGCATAGAACAGGGATACCAATAAGACCTTGTTGTGGAGTAATTTTGAGTGTTTTGTTTTTGTTACCTGGATGCCAATACCAATACGTTAAGCCTCAGTTTAAATCAAAGGGTTTATAAAGTGTAAGAGTCAGTTTAAATCAAAGGGTTTATAAAGTGTAAGAGAGATCTTTGTCCTAGAGTAGTATGCAAGAAAAAAAAACTTAAGGATTCTAAAATAGGTAACACCATTGGAGGAAGATTTGAGTTTGTAGTCCTTAACTATTAAAAAAAAACAAAAACAATAAAAAACAAATATTATAATCCTAAGGACTCCAATGGTGGGTAACACCATTGGAGGTGTTCTAAGACCATTTCCAATTCATCCTTATATTATAGAGAGAAAAGCATTTTCTTTATTTTTATAAAAATAGAAGAAAACTCTATTATAAGTACATATATTAAAGCAAAACTATTTATATTACAGAATTCTTTTGTTTAAAAGGAAAGTATTAAAAAAATATAGTTGAGTTGAAGATGATTTAGACATCTCATATCATTATGTTTTAACTTGATGTATTCTTCTAACAGTTTCCCTCATGTCTAATCTCTCATCTGGATTACTTGCAATACAAGCAGCTCCAACCCGCAACAATTCCAGCATCTGTTGCATCGAATCAGTAGTACTATTTACTATCTCCGAATCGATAATCTCTTTCTCTTTTTTCTCTGCCATCGATGATAGTACCAATTGAACTATATCTGTCCCGCCTTTACCGTATTGAGAAGGGAACTTCCCTGTCAAGATCTCAAGAATTATAATCCCGAGGCAGTATACGTCTGATTTCTGCGAAACTTGTTGGTTCAGCGCAAACTCTGGTGTCTTGTAAGCGAACAATGTCTCATATGCGTTGTTTGGCTCGAGAAACGGTGAGAATGCGTAGTCACTGATCACTGCTTCGTAGTTTTCGTTGAGCAGAACGTTGCTGGATTTGAGGTTGCCGTGTGGGAGGTCGTAGGACGCAAACTCCTCGTGCAAGTATTGCATCCCATTCGCTACTCCTTTGATGATGTTCAATCTTGTTGGCCAAGTTAGGTCTGTATGATATTCCCCACGATCACCTATTCAGAGAAGAAACAAAACAAGAAATTCAATTAATTTCTGAACCTATCATGAACATAGTTAAGTGAAATTCAATTTTAAGATTTAATATACATAAACATATATTTCTAAATTGTTTATTTTTATTAAAGTTATAATTACTATATTGTTTATAGACTAGAATCTGAGATTTTGAGAACTTAAAAATTTTATAAGAGCTTTAGTAAATAATTTATTTTTTTCATAATTTAGGGGTCTATGATTATATAAGAAATCATAAAGAAAATTTTTGGGGTCAAAATTAATGTTTCAACTAGCTGTGCTCATATCTGACCCTATCTATGGAATCTAAAATTTCATAACCCACCATGAATAGGTTTAGTACTTGTGAATATTTATCCTATTAAGCTTGCATGTTGACTACTAAAATGTTTTTAAAATGACAAGAAAACTTCTCATGTAAAAAGGCATTGCATGCCATGCATGCAGATTACCGTGTAAAATGTAACGCAAGCTGCTATTAGTCATGTATTCAGACACGACAAGCTTCTCTTCGCGACGGTAATGATACGCCAGAGGTGTAAGAACATTAGGGTGTCGGAGTTTCCCCAGCCGTCTCATCCCAACATCAAAAGGTTCAGGTGCCAATTTATTCATATCCTTAATCCTCTTCACCACAACAGACAATCCATTAGCCATCACCGCCACGTAAGCTGATCCAAGGCTACCGTTTCCTAGCACCTCGGCTGCAGCCTTCATCAGATGATGTAAACCAAACGAGCCCTTGTCGCTATTCACCATCACAATCTCACTCATCCCTCCACCTACTTCTCCTCCTCCTCCTCCACCGACTTCCACGTGTCCACCACGCTTATTGATTGGTTCTGTGTACCTATTCGCGGCTGGGGATTGGTGTACCTTGACTTGCACGGCATCTAGGTCGCTTAGACGTTCTTTGTCGACTAGCATACGAAACTGAGCGTGTTTCTTCTCGTTCCGCTTCTTGATAGCGCTCACAACGATCAAGAACGTGCTGAGAAACGTTATGGAGAAAAAGATCGCGTACACAGTTGTACTGTTCGAGTGGTTTGCTCCTGGTCGAGACATAGGTGGTAAGGGACCCGTTTCGCCGGATGGCGTTACGACTACATTCTCACAATCAGTGTGCACTGCCTTCCCGCACAAGTTACCGTTCTCTTCAAGTAATAAGGTGAGGTTTTTCCTATCTGAGAGGCTCACAGGGACCTCTCCTTCGAGTTCGTTGTTCGAGAAGTCGACGATCTTCAGGCTCTTGTTGATGTCAGTCATAGGAAGTATCTCTCCAGAGAATTTGTTAAACTGAAGATGAATCTCCTCGAGGTTAGGGAGCTGCATCAAGGAGGAAGGGATCTTTCCAACGAACTGGTTGTGATCAAGAAACAGTCTCTTGAGCTTTGTCAAGTCCTTGAAGAAATCTTGAGGGATCTCTCCGGAGAAGCTGTTGTTAGAGAGCATGAGAGATTTTAGGCCGCGGAGTTTGAAGAAATGTGGGAGAGGACCTGAGAGGTAGTTGTTGTCAAGCCTAACGGTTTTTAGATTCGGGAGAGACTTTAAATCATCGACTTGGATTGTTCCTGTGAGACCTAGCTGTGTGATGTGAATCCCTGTGACTGTTTGACCCTTGTGGCAATAGATACCAAACCATTTTCCACCGCAAGGATCTGTTCCTATTTTCCAGGAGTTTAGGTCTCCTTTGGTTATCTTCACGGAGTCTTTGAACTTCACAAGGGGTTCTGACTCGCTTACGTGCTGCAAAGAAGGGGAGATCAAGAAACACATGAGGAGGATGAAACTGGGAATCAGAACAGCAGCCATGGGTTGAGGAGAAGAGAGGCTGATGTTCTTTTTCCTTTTTTTTCTTTCTTGGCTTTTTATGATGTTTATGATGATGATGTTATGGTTCGTTGAGAGGTTTAGTTGTGTTTAGATTTTGTTTTTTGTTCATAAGTCTGGACATTGTTTGTTTGAGATGTATGTTTGCGACATTTTGTTTTGTTTTTTGACTGAATTAGTTGTCAAAGTTTAGTCTTCTCTTTGCCTTAAAATAGCTTCTTCTGTGTTTCCTTTTTTGTTTGTTTGTTTCTGAGAGCTTTAGCAAACCGTTTTGATAATGATCAGAACAAGTAACGGAACTGTTCATATGTCTCTGGTTATTGCGTCAGCAACAAATACATGCTTTCAACGAAACATGTTTTTGCAGAAACCAAAACTCAAAACGCTCAAAGAACATAATAATTGACTAACGATGTTAAATTCGAGTTTATCATAGGTTTCTAATTTAAAATCAATTGGTGATAACTAGATTGACTCAAATATCTTATACTTTATCTATATCCCAATGAAACTCTAGATATGAGTGATTTGATTATATGATGGTTCTTTTTGATCATTTTGTTTTTGGGTCATGTTTTTAATCTATACCATGTTCAATTCAAATTTAACATTGTTTTCTAATTTGAAACTGATTGATGATAAACAAGATTAAACCAAGTCTCTAATATACAATTAATTCAAAATTTTCTATTAATGGACTGAAAAGCCAAAAGTTGAGTTAGATTATGTTCTGTAAATATGGTCGGAACCAAGCTCCGGTACGGTTTACCACAATGAGCTTAGCTTCTGTATCAGAATAAATACTAAAACTTACACCTCAAGTCACTAGTACCTCAATGTGTGTCATCTAAAAGCTACCTGGCCTTGGTTCAAGCCCTCTCTCTAAACTTATATCATTGCGAAAAGGATTTCATTCCATGTATCAGGAACACCAGGCAAGCACCAATGGAGACAATCTTGAACTCCTTTCGAAGCCGAGAGACTAAACCTTGATATATGACATTCATCTCTAATATGAGATAAAGCCGTTATGTCCAAAAGCTTAACCCCTGTGCCTTTCACCGCATGACCGGCACTATAATCACTAGACTCCTCTTGCAAAACTTCTTTCCCTATAGACATTGGTGTTGTGTTATCACAACTCCCTCCCGTGTTCCATTCCCCGCCCACGAAATGCCTCGGGGAAAGGCTTCTGTAGAACGCCTTAAGACCCGGATGGTTAGGGAGCTGCGAGCTAACCCAACTAACAGTGCTGTGGATTGTGAAGTTCTTGGCGTTACCAAGAGCGGCTAGCTTCTTTCTTGGCTACAAACTCTTTAATTCTCTCTGTTGCAAGTGTATTATTCTCTGGATTTGAATGAGTCTCTTTAATCTGTGTTGTCTTTGTAGGTTCGTCTTGGCTAGCAGCAACCTCATGATTCAACTGTATTAAATTTATTTTCTTCACGTATTGGTGTCTGCTGATATTTGTGCTCACTTACAAGAACTTCATGTTCCACTTGTTCTAGCCTTTTTTCTTCGGTAGTTGATGTCATCCCTTGATTCGTCTTACTTAAAGTAACTGCTTCCACTTGTTTTTTTTTTATATTTTTCATCTTCTTCTGTATATTTATCATCAGTTGAATCCTCTTTGGTTTCTTCTGTCATAAGTAAGCCACCGAAAAAGAAAGAAAAGTTATGCTAAACTTAGTTTCTCCGATATTCACAGACTCATAAGTCCTCTCAAAAAGGTGCAAAGAAACTTTTGAGAAGATAACAAAATGCATGAAAGAGCTGCTGTAATTTCGTTGGAATTTACCTTTGTTTACTAAAATTGGTAAAACAAAATAACCTGGGAATCTCTGGAAATCAAAGGCGAGGGAGGGACTATGGAAATCAAAGGCGAGGATTCGCTCGCTGAAGAAGATGAAACGTAAAACCTTCCTTCCTGCTGCTGAGTCAAGAGAAAAGACGACGACGAATCGATGATTTGAATTTTCAGAGTGAATGCCTGTCCGTGTTTTCCCAAACCGGTTTTGGGTTGGTTTGACAATAAAATTCGGTTTTATGCGCATATTACTCGGTTTAGTAACTCAAAATGAGAACATGTCGAAAATCAAACGATTCTATCATATAACTATAAGCAATTGTGAGAGAGTGGTATTCACTCGCCACTTGTGAGAGTGGGGGTGCTTTCAAACCTTAATTTGAACCATTAAAATTAATCTTTTTCAAACAAAAAAATTTATACACATCATTATATTCTCATATATGCTATTAATTAGTAACACTAGTTATTAATTTTGATGATTTTGAAAATTTTAATAATCTTGTTCTAGGAAGGTTGTTCCTATTTTGCAATCTCTTGAAATAAAAACAAACATTGACATTTTCATTCCAAACAAAACAACTACGTGTTGTCTTTATTAAAAGCATTGTGCCGTTTTAAATCAAACAAAACAAAACGGGAGTAAGGCGACGACACTTGAGTTCAAAGAAACTCATTGAAGTAAAAAAGTTTCGCCTGTTTCCTTTTTGTGAAATTAAAAACATGGACTTCCCCAAAGCATAAATTCTAATACTAAATTTCTCTTATGTTTTGCCTTCTTTCCTCAGCAAGATGAGTCGGCTAAGGTTCCTAGTGATTATCAACAACATCATGTCCTCTGCTGTTCTCCATGACTTTTTAGTGTTTGTCAATTTGTCGAAACTAAAGAGTCTTTGGTTTGAGAGAATTCATGTCTCTGAGCTCTACAACACAACAATTCCCATGAGCAATCTCCACAAAATGTCTCTTATTCTGTGCAAGATCAATAACAGTTTTGATTAGACCGGAGTTCATGAAGTCTCCAGTATCTTCCCAAAACTCCAATAACAGGGGAATTTAATAAAGTTCCTCACTTTTCCTGCAAATTGCTTTACTTAATTTGTCAAAATTCCAAATAATGCACCAACAATGTCATTACGGGTGTATATTGTTCGTTCGTTCATTCACAAACACGTCTTTAACTTTCTTGCTCCGCAAATTACTGTTTTTTTAAAACACCCACAAATAATTGTTTAATATTTCATTTCCCTACAAATTCTGTTTTTGAAAATTGAAGCAGATAATCTGTACTATTAAAACATCACTCAAAAATGGCCCAACAAGACCCAAACAACATTTTTAGAAATTTGTGGTAATAACTAAGAATTACACTTAGGTCATTTTTATCGCGGTTTCTTCCACGAATCTTAAAAATGAGAACCTACAAAGTGGTAAATACGGTTTTACAAGTCGTCAAATAAAAGCCGACATTGAATGATTTTTATAATTGTTCGTGGGTTCCACCAACACGTGACGGTACGTGATTAATTTTTTTAATTTTTTTTCAGACAAAAAAGATTAAGAAAAAAAAAATGAGAATCCCATTAAGGATTTGTAGGATAATCATGCCCTAACAAAATCATGATTACTCTATCCAAATAAAACTTTCTTTTCCACATCTTTTAGTTCTTTTTTGCTGTCAAATATATATGATATATAATAAAGTTCAAAGAATAAAGTTTGTTTTTACTGATAAGAGGAGATTTTCTCCCTTTGTTAAGTAAGAATGGTTTGTCAGAACATATAGTCTTTAAAACCTGCCCCATAAAAAGAAAGGGAAAATTCCATATAAATATCCCAACTAAATTCTATTAAGTTTTTTAATACCCAAACTTTTTCACTACCCAGTTTAAAACCTCAACTAATTATTCTGCCCACTTTAATACATCAACTTTTATAACTGTATCCATTTTAATACTCAAACTTTGTTTATTTTAATTAACAATACTAATAAGTTTCCAATGAAATTTTAAAAATGTCTAAACTTCAGAAAAAAAATTAATTTTATTATATGTTTGAGTAACGAAATTAAATAAATTTTTCATAATCTTAAGTTTCGTAATAAGTTTTTTAAGTTTTATATATTGAATTTAGTTTGTTTTTTTTGAAATAAAAAGTAAATTATTATTTTTCCTTCAAAAACTTTTTTTTTAAAACATTAAATTTTCTACAGAGTTTGTTTACCTTATTTCTTAAATCTTCAAATAAACTTAGAAAATTTAAATATTTTTTCTTAGATTTTGGAGATTTTTTTAAAATTTCGTTTGAAATTTATTAGTATTGTTAATTAAAATAAACAAAGTTTGAGTATTAAAATAGATACAATTATAAAAGTTGGTGTATTAAAATTGGCAAAATAATTAGTTGAGGTATTAAAATGGGTAGTGAAAAAGTTTGGGTATTAAAAAGCTTAATATAATTTAGTTGGGGTATTTATATGGAATTTTCCCAAAAAGAAATCATGAAGTGATATTTGTTGTATGTACACTTGAATGATTCGGATATCACATTGCCCTAATAAAAAAAAATGGGGAAGAAACCCGACAAGTTGCCGCAAGTAGGTTTAAAAAGAAGAAGGAAATGTGTTAAACGGTGGAGATTAGAAGCAAAGTGTAACAATAATAAGTGGGTGTTCTTATCATCCAAGACAAAACCATGCCAGCTGTAACTTGGTTTGCTTTCACTGGTACCACTAACATTACACGTAATTTGATGTTATAACATTTGTCTTAATGTTATCTGATTACTATAACTTAAAAATGGCCAAAACTAGTCGTACTGCTTCATTATGTTTGTATTTGTTGTACCAACATAAATGGAAAAACATACTGTTAATGAGCGATAGAGACAAAGAACATGATGCTTCTTTGAGAACACGATTCTAAAACGTAACTATTTGTGATTGGTTACCACTTACCACCTTCCTTGAGCTTGTTTATAAAAACGATTCAAAAAACGTAATTACCTATGAAATCTAATGGTTGATTATCAAATCAACTTTTTCCTTCTTTTCACTTATGATGATCAGCTGGAATCTGCATGCCTATCTTTTTAATACACATTCTTATAACAATTCTTAAAAATGTAAAACATCAATGTCGATACTGGGAATGGCTATTGAAACTAACATAAGTACATAACGTATCACAAGTTTTACAAAATAAAACTCCGATAGATACAAACTTTCTAAGTATCGAAAGATAAACCAAAATGTAGATACAAAATTTGTTTTTTAAAGATTCCGTGGTCAGTCATACAATACTTAACTCATTACTGGCAAATTGGCATCAGGGGAATAATATATTCTACACTTGTGTACTAATTGAGGTTGCAAAATTACTAATCTTCCAATGAACACCGCGATATGATTATTCTATTGTTATACATCTTTACTATTATTCAGAAAGAGAAACATAGACATACTTACGCAATAATTTACACGAGAAAACAGAAGTCTCAGCAAAGCTCGTAATTAGTTTTTAGTTAATACCTAATTGTTTATGTCACTTAAGATTTTCAAGTGCTCAACTCTTCAGTGCTTTATCCAATCTAACTTCATGGTGTGAGTATTCTTGGTCTTGAGATAGATATAGCATGCAGTATCACAACCAGGTCAAGCCTCATGAAAGTTTAGTGAGGAACATAACCAGTCTGTTGAAGATATGATATGAAAAAACTAATAGGTGATGAAACTTTACATTCTGGAAACAACTAAAGATTCAAGGTCTTGCTCAAATTCAATACTTGATCATTGTGAACATTTTTTTTTTTGCTTTTTACTATCTTCTGTTGAACTACATGTTTGCTTTCGTATAGTTTTTTTAGCGTATAATTCTCTAGGGACTAGATAGATCATTATTTAAATAACGTAAAAGACACATTTCTATTGCAGAACATATTTGAATATTATATATGTACATGCTACATTATATTAGTATGTCATCAAATCTCATCGGAAAAATGATCTGATCTCACCCCCAAAAATATATAGAGTTAAATCGACTTATAACCAACATAGCACACCTGTAACAAAAAACTACAATAATGCCATTACTATGCACGAGCTTGCCTTCACTTTAATTCAAGAAGTCAAAAGCTTCTGATTTGGTTAAAATCTCCCCTAGAGTTGGCAAATTTAGCAAAACTCCAATCTCCACAAACGATGCCCAGAGACGTACACTACAAGAAAACATTGATTTTGAAACTACAATTTGCAACCACAGCAGTGGTTACAAAATTTTGCAACTAATTTCTAACCAATTTGCAACTTTAGTGCTACTACACGTAATGTGTCATAAGTGAGTTGCAAATATGCAACCAAATCGTGCAGTTGCAATATGGTCGTTTATTTGGGAGCAATATGTGACTCTTTTGCGACAATACACGGAGGTATCAAAATATATGTAAATTTACAACTGATTTATGACTATGTATCTAGTCAGAAACATTTATTTCAAAATTACACAATTATATAATTTGAATATAGTTGTCGTAAAGTGGTAAACTTTTTTTGTAATGCTTT